CATGATTGGTCGCGCCCAGCATCTTAATGTGCCTTATTTGGGTGCGACCCGATATTGACACGTGGCACACAAAAATTCAAAAGTTTGACCATAAAATTTTGAAAAACCATAACTTTTGACGCTGGTGTCAAAATCAGGTAACTGTTTTTTTGATTCCACGTAATTTTTTGAGATCTACGCAATGACATCTCTTTGAAGGGATTTGGTCAAAGCTTTGCAATTTTTCGGGATATTTTACCGTAAAACTTATGAATTTCATAACTTTTGAATCGAGTGTCAGAATCAGGTGCTTTTTTTATTCCACGTAACTTTTCGAGAGCAACATGTTGCCTAATACCTAAAAGGGATTTCATCAAAAATGCTTCTTTGTGTCCCGTTTGGTATTTTTTTTGTGAATGATGTTATTTAAATTTTCTTTCCAACACTAACAAATAATCCTTTGGAAATTTTTCAGTGCATAGATCTCAAAAATTTACGTGAAATAAAAAAAAATCACTCATACTCCCGAGCCAAAAGTTATATCCTTCCGAAGTTTTATGGTAAACTTGAGCTTATGTAATCAATTACATGGATGTATTATCCGATCAATGGTAAAAAATGGACCTATTAATTTTTGTTTTAAAAAGGGGCAAATGGGTTAAAAAGTCAAATAAATGTATATTGTCAAATGCTCTTGTGGTGGCACCATTGTTGCAAATTCGAAAAAGTTTTGGAAATTTTTGTGACCAAATCTCCTTCAATGAGATGTTATTGCGTAGAGTATCTCTTGGCCACCAAATTGTTAGTATATGGATGTCCTAGAGACAATCTTTTGATTAGATTAGGACATATGTGGACCTTTTATTTTGTCACAAAAAAATATAAGCACTCTTTATCCTGTTTTATATTTTGTCTCGATATTATTAATATTATATGAGTAACTGATAAACCCTTTGGAATAGAATATGTATCTCCTGAGTATCTGTGATGAGATCACGATCATGAGGATTCAAGGATACCAGATGTTTATTCCTAATTTTATGTTCCTAGTCTAGATACACTGAGAATGGGGATCAGTAATCTCGGGTAAGACTAGCACGGCTTATCTACTTGTATTCGTATACAAGGTGAAGACCTCATGAGCTACAGATATGGAGATGTCTTAGCTAAAGTCGTGAGTGGACCTATAAGGGTATAGCTCGCACTGAACAGACCCACAAAGAGACTCTAAGAGGAAATCTTACAAAAGTATCATTAGAGTAGTCTCTTAATATTTGGGTATGTCTTTCCTTAGACCATAAGTTGTCACCTAGACTGTGTTCTAGAAGGCATGTTTTGATTGTATACCTCGTCTGCCTGAAACATGGAGACTCATAGGTATACTTTTGGGCATGTCCTGAAAGAGCACAGACCTAGGGTGATAAGCTGAAGGAATTCGTCAAATCTCTGTAAGGTATTAGGTTATCTGTAAACCGGAGAAATTAGGATGATATTTACAGGACTCGGGAATCTATGCATAGTAAAAGAGATCATGAGATGATCTACGTTTAGAGTCAGTAAATTGAAGATTCCTTATTTTGAATTAAAGCTTACCCTAAACCGCAAGGGTTGATACACTTCCTCACCCTAGGTTTAAATGGAAGGTAACCGAGATGAAAAGAAATACATACGGCAACCAAATATGTGTAATAGGATGATCAAGTCATTAATCTAACTAGTTCTGGGGAAACAAAGTATTGCTAGTGCTCTGTGTTGTCATTAAATGGGTTGTGGGCTTGTTGGGCCCGAGCCCATTTATGTCAGTGGCTATGTTGGACCTAATGGGTCACACACTAACACCTTATTGTCATGATGAGCTAGCATTAAAGATATTGGGCCTAATAATGGTTGTTAGCCCAAGAAGAAGTTTGGAAGCCCACCTAAAAAGGAAAAGGGCGCATGGATCATGTAGTGGGCTTGGATGGTCCAAGACATTACTAATTAATTTAATTAGTTAAATTAATTATCAAATATTTAAATTTTGAATTTTGAATTTGAAATTTGAATTTTGAAATTTGAATTTTGAATTTGAATTTTGAAATTCGAATTTTGAATTTGAAATTTGAATTTTGAGTTTAGAATTTAAATTTTGAATTTGAATTTTGAATTTAAATGTTTGAACGTTTGAATTTGAATTTGAATTGGCTATGAAAAGTTGTTTCATAACAAAAGGATAAGATAAGATCTTGTTGGAACAAAATCCTTGTATCAAGAGGAGATCTTTGGAGATCACCAAGGGCTGTTTGGGGCGCTGATTTGGTGTGATTATAAGTGTCATCTAGTCAACCAAATAAGCTCCAATCAGATTTGGTTGGTTGAGAGAATCAGTGAGTGAGTTGGTTCAAATTTGAATGCAACTGCTCAACGTATCTGGACCCCTTTTGGGGCTGAATAGAGCACATAGATGGCTAGCCATATAATGGCCATTAGGTCAGAATTTTGACTAGATAAAGATCTAGTCTCATGAGGATTGTATGGTAGGTTGTTGAGAATTTTGAATTGCAACAACTCCATCCTTTCTCTCCCTTTATGTGCGCCATTTGTGATCAGAATTTTGAGAAGAAAATCTGATTGCATCCTTGCTTCCTCTCATCCTTTTGGTGCGCCACTTTTGTTAGGTTTTTCCCTAAGTGTTTTGGAATTAACCTAGCCTTTTCTAAGAGCTTCCATGCCCCACTTTTGTGAAGTTTTCATGCTGAAGACTTCACTCTTCTAAACACCTTTACCTAGCCTCCTCCTTCACACATTGGACGCCTAACAAGCTTTTGTGGTGATCAATTGGTGGCTTTTCAAGAAGAGTTCTTGCATCTTGACGTGGGGTGGTGTGGATCAACGTTAGAGGGTTTGAACCCTTCAAACCTGACACTGATCTCCTTGGTGTTTGAATCACAAACAAAGGTAACATCATGCTATCTTAAAGCATGAATCTTGATTGCATGTGTTATTCCGCTTGAAAAATTTTGTTTTTCCCTCTCACATACCTTCGGCCTTCAAGGCCATTTTCTTTCAAGTGATTCAGCATATGCTATCACTTTGCTCACCAAACTTGGTGATGAATCCCGTGAGTCTCATTTAGTAACCCGCATACGGGAATGGCTCTCAAAGGACTGGACTGTTAGGCTGCTTCACACTTACAGGGAAGGCAATTCTTGTGCTGACTGGCTTACTAATCTTCCCCTTCGTAAGCTAGACCAAGAAGATTTTATGATTTTTCATGTTCCCCCCTGATATTAGGTGGTTGTTTTTTGCTGATTTTAGCTCTGTTCACAGAGCTAGACATTCTTTGATGTAATTTCTTTGTTTTTGTTAGGGGTTGTGCCCTTCACCAAAAAAAAAAATTGTTAATAGTTATGAAATTTTGTAGTGTATGAAATTTTGTTTATTCCATCCACTTAAACATATTTCAGTTGATTGAGATGTATGATTTGACTAAAAGGTAGTATATAAATAAGGGATTTCTCTTTTCTCATTTCACATGAGATAACATCTCTTATGCTATAGACATAACAAGTGGTAGGTCTCATCACTTGTTAAAAAAATAAAAAATAAAAAGAAGATGGCACGAATTTTGATACCTCGCAACATGAGAAAAGTTGATTGCTCACCAAAATGTAATAGATTGATTCAAAACTCATTTTATCTTGGTATTCAAACTTTTCACCAGTGACTTCACCCTCTTCTTTTTCTGCAACAGCAACCTTGCGCGAGGAATTTTTTTTTTTTTTTGATTGCTCATTTTGATTTAAGGGAATGTAAATATTTTCTTTTTTTTAAATCGGGTCATGGGTTAAAAATTAATCTGGTTTAATTTTTTTTGTATAAGACCCGGTTTAGTTTATTGTTTAAGTAAAAACTTGCGTTTCTATTATTTTTACGTTTTTACATGGCGTTTTTATCAGTTTTAACACATCACTTAAGTAAAAATGTAAGTTTTTACGTTTTTACATTTTTGACAACAATGACCCCATCAACAACATACTGCATAAGCATCTATTCTATCTTTTTGTACTTTCGTAGTATGAGCGTCTTAGGAGCGCATCTTCTGTACTACAGGCGCATCAATCATTGAATGCGCCGATGTATTTATATTATGTATTATCGATAATATATCATATGAAATACAAAATTTATTTTTTTTCTCTCTCCAGTATAATAGCAACTGATGTTGCGTGCTGCTATAGGTCCGTTGTACCTACTCCCATAGTATACTAGATTCTTCAATGTCCTAGAGTCCTACATTCTTTCGTATTCGAAGGATTATAAATGGAACCAAATGATAATAGCTCGGTTGACATATAGAGTTAAGCAGATAGAGATAAGAGTATATGTTCGATTCTTCTAATACTATCTTTGGAATGAGTTTAAAGCCTTAATCTTGAATCCACCCCGAACAAGATTGCCTCTTGTGGAGGATATCAGTGTTTATAAAAAAAAAAAAGGAAGGCACAAGTGTTGGATAAATATTTAGACAGTGAAAATTGAAATATTAATTATGTAGTGTCTTTATTTTATCATTTGAACTTCTTTATAGTCCTTATTAATCAATTAAAGGTCGTAAAAGTGTTTTTTTTTTCTTCAAATAATTTTAACATTAATTTAATTTTCAAATTATGTAAAATAAAATCAAAATCATCTTCTGTGTACGAGCTTCGAGATTGAGAGACCAAATTGATATTTTTTAACGATGAAAAGATAAATTCATGTCGAATTTGAATGATTAGGGAGACTAATTTATTATCATTTTCTATACTAGAGATTTGTTATTGGGCTTAATTGAAGTCGACCTTTTTTGGAGATCAAATTGATATCACTTACTGTGATTGTATCACTTACTATGATTGGGTGATTAAACTAATGTCAATGTGTTTTTAAAAGACCAAAGGAATAATACCAGTATCTTAAAAACTAAAATAAAAATTGGGCTTACTTTTATTTCTAGTATGAGCCTATCCACCAAAGATCCACAAACTTGCCATTACAACCTAATAGTCACAATAACTAAATACCACGGTTGGCACATGTTGAACTTTGTAATGATCCTCTCCTCTTTTTTCAAGTTTACTTCTGAATGCTGCAAACATTGATCTGATCTCCAAATCCTGAAGAGTGGTGACAAACCTGAGCCCATCTGGAACCATTTCAAGATTAGTGCAACTTGCAATCTCAAGTTTGCTAAGACTAGGCATGGCTCCTTTAGCCAACTTCAACTCTTCAAGATTGGTCAAGTCACAGATAAGCAGAGACTTAAGCTGAGGGAAACCTTTGCTGGAACAAACTAGTTGCTTTCCCATGAATGAATCCAGTTGTAACTCAAGCAACCTTAAATTTGGAAGCTTCTCTAATGTTGTCATTGGATCTATAAGAAGTCCAGAACCCTGCAACTTTAGCTTGGCTAGCTTGGAAGAAATTTGGTGGGGTTCAGGAAAATTCATTATAGGCCCTTCTATGTGCAGCTTGTAAAGATTGGGACAGCCTGCTACAACTAGGACAATTGACATATTCTCAGAACTAACAAAAAACAATGACTCAAGGTGGCTAAATGTCACATCATGAGACTTGAAGATATCTCCAAATTTAGGATCATCTATCACCAATTTTCTTAAATTGGTTAATTTCATAAGATCTCTTACATCACACTTCTCTGCAGGGAAGTTAACCAAGGTCTGCAAGTTTGTCAGATTGGCTAGGTTCCATTTTTCAGTGCTATCTCCACAAGACTCTGGTAGATATAAATGTCTCAATTTGTCCATGTTCCCTATTACATTTGGTATTTGTACTGTTGAATTCCCTGTTAGAAGATCCAGGGTCTGCAAGCACCTCAAATTGCCTATTGATAAGGGCAGCTCATCAATTTTTGTATTTCTTAGACTCAGAAACCTTAGGTGGATCAAGTAGCCAATTTCTTTTGGCAACTTTCCTCTCTGACCCTGTATTCCTTCCAAGTTCAAGACTCGAAGTAACCTGCATTTGTTGAAAACCAGCTTCATCAAACCCCATTCACTTAGCCTAGCTATCTTTTCTTGGTAGCAAAGTAGAGACCTAAGATAGCGGTGGCTTTTCAAGTGTGAAGGGAAGAACCTATCAATATCTTGATCCAGATATAAGGCAATCCTGCGAACTTTACAAACATGCCTTGCTCTTGAGGCCGTAGATTCATCTACATTCCAGGAATTAATCACCTCAAGAAAGTTTTCTTGATATGCCTTAGATACGCAAAGGTCCCTCATGAGGTTGTGCATTTGAAAAGTTCTAATTCTTCCTGTTGAACTCTTTTCCACCACCTGAATCATACACCTTTCCACCAGTTCAGTCAAGTAACGTTGTGCCACATCCTCTAGAGCTTCCTCACATTCTCCTTCGTTCTGAGCCAATGATATAATACCTTCTGCCACCCATATTCTTATTAATTTCTTTGTTGGTATCTCTAAATTTTCTGGGAAATGGGCTAAGTGTAGAAAACATGGCTTCAATTGGTATGGCAATTCGTAATAGCTCAAAGCTAGCACCTCAGATACTCCCAATAGTTGTTCATGGCCTTTTGCTCTCCTCAAGTATGAGTTGATGTTCTGACGCACAGTGTCCCATTCATAGAATGTAGGCTTTGTTGCTAATAGTCCTCCAAGAACAATGATGGCCAATGGTAAACCTGCACATCTTCCAACCATTTCCCTTCCCAACTTCTCCATCTCTACTGTAATTTCGAAGCCTGTGCAAATCAAACAGAAATCATAATGGAAACTTGAAATTGAAGAATTCAAACTTAGAAAAACTGTAAAACATCCTCCATATTTTGGAAGAGGGTGTGGTTTCATTTCCACATGCAAATCCAATATTTTATTCTTTGGAATTTATTTAGAATATTCTTAAGAGGATAGGATAAAAGGAGGGGGAATGGGTGGAGTAGGATATGCATGTATTCAGTGAATATTGGGGACCTGAGGATCTCTTAGAGCCTAGTTGTGTTGGTTCTACGGGTGAGCTTAAGAGGGGTTTTTTAGTGTCTGATTAATCTTTGTGTTATGTTGCTATTTTAGTGTCTATTGGTGTTTGTAAGAGGCTCTGCCTCCATTGTTTGACAGCAATAAAGAGTTTAAATTTTGGGTTCCATCGGTACTAAACCACTCAAAGGTGACAAATATAATTTCATTGGACAAGTACCATAGTCATGCATGCTTGCATATAACCATATATGACATTGTTTAAAGCAAGGCAAAGAAACTTCACAGGAGAGAATTAAACAATTCATTGGCTTGTGGAAAATGAAGAACACGTAAAAGCCAAGGCATAAATAGGAAACAAACGAAATTCTGAAGTTCATATGCGGGAAAGTAAGTCAAATTCTAAAATTCAGTTGGGGAAACAACCTTCTATTTATATAATTATGTAGAAAATCAGAATCCAAACATGTTTCCGTTTTTATTTCCTATTAATTAGAATTGATTATGATTGATTAGGATTGATTGTGATTGATTAGAATTGATTGTGATTAGGATTAATTAGTCATCGCTTAGTCATTCTTAGCGATTCTTTCTTGTATAAATACTCACTCATGTAAATTATTCAAGATCAATATACAGAAACTTCTTTTCAATATGGTATCAGAGCGGGTTCGTTCCTACCCTCATTCAAATCTGAAATAACCATCCAAACACTTCCATCACCGTCAAACACCTCCTAAACACCTCCTTGAATCTGTCCAACACAGAAACCTAGTCTACTGACCTCCGATCAAGAAAGTGAGGTGACCATTCGACTCAGAAGGATCCGACGAGTCATCCGCCGCTGGACCCATCGCTGTCAACCGCCGCACGCGCCGTCACACGTGCGGCCAGTCTCCGGCGCGTGAGCTCCACGCGCCGCCTTCCCAACGTTTTTTTTTCCGCCGCGACTTGCACAGACCTTCTCGCCGGCTTCTCCCCTTCCTGTTCCAGAGGTCAGATCAAAAATTTACAAAACTTGATTTTTCATCAACGGTCAACCCTTCTCTTTCTATTCATGGCTTCCTCAAAACACTTCCACGGGAAACCTGCAAATTGGAAGCCCAAAGGACAAAATAAAGGTCGTGCATATCAGGTCTCTACTGATGACAAGGTTGATGAGCCTCATGCATCCTCTGACTCTGATGGTGTCTTTCTTAGCAAGACTCAGTTTGAACAACTTCAGAGACTTTTGACTCAACCTCCTAAGGCCACTAGTCATGTGGTCCAACAAGGTACAGCTTTCCATGTTGATAGTCAAAATCATTGGATCCTTGATTCTGGAGCCTCTGATCATATGACAGGTAATCTTGGCTTGTTTTGTTCATACACTCCATATTCTGAACCTTCTCGGGTCAAGATCGTCGATGGCAGTTTTTCCCAGATTGCGGGACACGGAACCATTAAACTTTCTGAGCTGATTACTTTGACATCAGTTCTTTATGCTCCTTCTCTGACTTGTAATCTCATTTCCATTAGCAAGCTCACCTCTGAGTTGCATTGCTTTGCTAAATTCTTTCCACATGGTTGTGTTTTTCAGGAACAGGACTCGGAGAGGATGGTGGACTTTACTACTTTGAGGAGGATGTGACTCATGAAGCTGTTTTCGTAGAAAAAAACTCTATGTTTCCTATTGATTCATGTAATGATGTTATGCTGTGGCATCGTAGGCTAGGCCATCCAAATTTTTTTTATCTTCAGAAGTTGTTGCCAAACTTATTTATTAATAAAAGTCCAAGTTTGTTTTCTTGTGATATTTGTCGACTTGCCAAGCATACTCGTGCTCATTATTCTTCTAAAGTTCACCATGACTCTTCCCCATTTTCCTTAATTCATAGTGACATATGGGGTCCAGCCCGTGTTAAAAATATTTCAGGTACTCGATGGTTCATTACCTTCATTGATGACCATTCTCGAGTCTGTTGGGTGTATTTTCTAAAGGATAAGTCCGATGCTGCATCCATGTTTAAAAAATTTCATGCCATGGTTCAAACCCAATTCCAAGTTGCTATACAAATTCTTCGTACAAATAATGGCAAAGAGTACTTTAACTCTATTCTTGGAGAATATCTTTCCTAACATGGCATCCTTCACCAAAGCTCGTGTCCTGAAACACCCCAACAAAACGGAGTTGCGGAAAGAAAAAACCGACATCTCCTTGAAGTTGCTTGGGCTCTTATGTTTACCACGATTGTTCCTAAATATCTTTGGGGAGAGGCAGTTCTCACTGCCTCGTATCTGATAAATCGAATGCCATCTCGCATTCTGAAATTTCAGTCTCCTCTTTCTAGTCTTGTTCGTATCTTCCCTTCCTTCCGAGGTGTCTCCTCCTTACCTCTCAAGTTATTTGGTTGCGTTGTATTTGTCCATATTCCATCCCATCAACGGTCTAAGCTTGATCCTAAGTCTCTCCAGTGTGTCTTTATTGGTTATTCTCCTACTCAAAGTGGCTATAAATGTTATTCACCCTCTCTTCTTAAGGTCTTTGTCTTTATGGATGTCACTTTTTTCTGAGAATGACCCTTTCTTCCCCTCGACTTCTCTTCAGGGGGAGATAGGAGTAGATGAAGATCAGTCATGGGAACCTACTGATGCCACGGTATTACCTCTACTTTTGGAAACAGGGGGAGCTACAGGATCCTCACCATCAGGAGCCTCCTCAAAATGGGGACAAGTTTATAGCAGCGAAAGCCTCCTCAAAGTGTGAATAACCCAGAGCCTCTACACTGTCAGGATTCTGAACCATGTTCTAGTTCCAGCACCCCAATACTTGAGTGTCATGGTGAAAATGATCTACACTTGCCCATTGCTCTCAGAAAAGGTACTTGATATTGTACTACTATCCTATTTCTAATCATATTTCATATGGAAAGTTGTCCCCAGGGTTTCGTGCTTTCAATACTATGTTGGATGGTACAAAGATACCGAGAAATATACATGAGGCTCTCAATGATAAAAAATGGAGGGATGCTGTCTTTGAAGAAATGAATGCTTTAGAAAGAAATGGAACTTGGGAGATAGTGACCCTACCCAAAGGAAAACAGGCAGTAGGATGCAAATGGGTGTTTACAATAAAATTCAATGCAGATAATAGCATCAACAGATACAAGGCAAGATTGGTTGCAAAGGGTCTCACTCAGACTCATGGGATAGATTATCAGGAGACTTTTGCTCCGGTTGCTAAAGTCAATACCATCCGAGTTCTCTTATCTCTTGCTGCCAATCTAGATTGGCCTCTGCAACAATTAGATGTGAAGAATGCATTCCTAAATGGTGACTTACATGAAGAAGTCTATATGGATCCTCCACCTGGTTTTGAAAAGGGAAATGGATCAGTGTGTAAACTAAAAAAGTCTCTATATGGATTGAAACAGTCTCCCAGAGAATGGTTCGACAAATTCACACAAGCAGTCAAAAGAAGAGGCTTCATTCAAGCACAGATTGATCATACTCTCTTCCACAAACACTCTAAGGATGGTAAAATTGCTATTCTTATTGTATACGTAGATGATATAATTCTTACAGGTGATGATATTGAAGAATTGAACACCTTGAAGAAATTTCTAGCAGCTCAATTTGAACTCAAAGACCTTGGCACTCTCAAATATTTCCTTGGTATGGAAGTTACTAGGAGCAAAACAGGTATCACTCTAACACAAAAGAAATATGTTCTAGATCTTTTGTTGGAAACAGGAATGTTAGGGTGTAAACCTGATGAGACACCTGTGGAACCTAATACCAAGTTGGGTATTGAAGATGGGAATGAGGTGGATAAAGAACAATATCAGCGATTGGTTGGTAAACTAATCTACTTATCTCATACGCGTCCTGACGTTGCCTTTGCGGTGAGTATGATTAGTCAATTCATGCACTCACCCAAGGAGAAGCATCTTAGTGCAGTCTATAGGGTGCTTAGATACCTCAAGAATACTCCAGGAAGAGGATTATTCTTTAAAAAAGGGTATAAAAGGACAATTGAAATCTACACTGATGCAGATTGGGCAGGCTCATCAGTAGACAGGAGATCTACCTCAGGCTATTGCACCTATGTGTGGGGAAATCTTGTTACTTGGAGAAGCAAAAAGCAAATAGTGGTTGCAAGAAGTAGTGTTGAAGCAGAATTTCGAGCTTTATCTCATAGAGTTTGTGAAGGAATCTGGTTTCAAGAGTTGAAGATTTCATATTCCCTACCAATAAAACTATATTGTGACAACAAGGCAGCTGTTAGCATTGCTCAAAATCCTGTGCATCATGATCGAACAAAGCACGTGGAAGTTGATCGTCACTTCATCAAAGAAAAATTAGATGATAGAAGTGTGCGTTTGATATATGTTCCAACCAAAGAACAAACGGGAGATATCCTTACCAAGGGCCTACACCGTCCAGCATTCGAAGACTTGATTGGCAAGTTGGGAATGATCAATATTTACCTCCCAACTTGAGGGGGAGTGTAGAAAATCAGAATCCAAACATGTTTCCGTTTTTATTTCCTATTAATTAGGATTGATTATGATTGATTAGGATTGATTGTGATTGATTAGAATTGATTGTGATTAGGATTGATTAGTCATCGCTTAGTCATTCTTAGCGATTCTTTCTTGTATAAATATTCACTCATGTAAATTATTCAATATCATTATACAGAAACTTCTTTTCAATAAATTCTTTGAGAGAAAGAAAAAATGGTATGTTGCTGCCACACACTGCAACATTCAGAGAAAATTTCTAGAGGTCATAAACAGGGTTTGACATCTATTTCTTTCTTCTTGAAAAAACGAGAACAAGAACTGGAATCTTTAACTAATTTGTTGTATCTCTTTTATGCTGACTTCTATGAACTAACACTACTTGAAACAATTAAATTGGGGTATTTTGATCTAAGAACCCCTTCCCTAGCTGCACCCTCCCTCAATTACTAAAAAGAAAGTCAACTTTGAAGCTATAGAATATTGAAATTAGCAAGTTAATCAACATGGTAAACAAATGAAATGTGAATAACATTGAGAGTGCATTTTAGGAATAGGGTAACGTAAATCTATATACCTGGATCATCATTTTTTGGAAACGCCTTCTTTTGGAACAACTCCCAGCTGTCATCTTCATTTAAACATCTTGGTTTATGAAGATAACAAGTAGGATCCATATGTAACGCAACATCAGTGTTTCGAGTAGTTAGCAATATTTTGCTATCAACTACTGATAATGATCTCCCACTTGGGAAAGCAGGACTGAGATTGTTCCAGGTATCTGCACTCCAAATATCATCAAGGACTACTAAGCATCTCTTCTCCACTAGAACTTGGTAAAGCATCCTTGCAAGTTCCTCATCTCTCATATTGACAAGTTCCTCTCTTAGCTCTTTGGAAGGAGCTATAAGCTTAAACAGAATTCCTTCCCACACATCCCTTGCTTGGCAATGCTGTGATATATAAGCCCAAGCCAAGCTTTCAAAATGGTGCCTGACATTAGTACTATGGTATACCTTTTTTGCTAATGTTGTTTTCCCTATACCCCCCATCCCACAAATGGCAACTACTTTGTAACCTTTATTGGGGTTGACCAAACATGACTCCATAACATTTACATCATTCTCCACACCAATTATGTCCTCTTCAATAACATGAGAGTAAGATCTCCTCAAAGCTCTCTGCCTCCCATGCATGGAATTTGAGGCTTCCCCTCTTTCAGGTCTTATGCCATAAGTTTGCAAAGACCTTGTGAGGCTAGATATCCTAGCTATGATATCATCAACCTGAGATCCCAATTGATGGGTTTCTATGAACTTTAAAGCATACCTTTTGATGAGGTTCAGCATACCACTCAAGTTTCTTCTTGATGCTCCTTTGAGTGCATATGTCTCAATTGCATCATCAGAATCATAAGCAGCTTCCCTGATTTCTGAAATCCAATTGCGGAGGCTTTCATCCTCGTCTTGCCTTCTATCTGCATCTTGCAAGTAAGACTGCATCCTCCTCAATTCAGTTCGCAGCTGCTGCACTTTGTCTTCCACCCCATTTAAGAACACTGCTTCTTGAATGAGCAAATCACCAAGACTCTGCACTATGAAGGTCACTATAGCTTGGGCCATCTTACAAGGCTATTCTTCTTTCAACCAAAAAATAAAAGTTTTTTCCTTGATTATCAACAACCCATTTGCTCTAACATCTAGATTCAATTCTCAAACTTATACACTGCTATCAATTTAGCAAAGGGAAGTGAATAAGCAAAGCAAAAGATGGGGTTGACTTTGACTTATTGTCATAGCAGACCAAACCCATAAAATCATTTTCCTTCCCACTTGTATCCATGTGCACTTTTAAAGTTCTAAGTTTGAACCATTTGGTTGTGGTCTTGTGGAATTTATAGTAGAAAAGGTAGTTTGATTTTTCAAAAAGGAACGTCCCAAGGACAAAGATGGACAACAAGTTGCATGCATCTTCCACGAAATAATTTGAAAGGTAATCAACACATAAAACTGTGTGACAGGGTAACGGTATTGGGGTCCTAAGTCAAAAATAAAAATTAACCTTATTTTGTTTATGGGCTAAGGAAATGGAAAAGTATTTACCAAGAAAAAAAGGAAATAGAAAAGTAAGACCGACAATTTGCAGAACTTCAATAAAGGGTTGGAATTTGTCAATTATTACAAACAATTAAGAAAGAAAAAGAGTGAGATGGGTAGGGAGTAGTTGAAATTTGGAGCCGTGAGATACTTTGATACATTATAATAATGTAATCCACGTGGGACAAATCTTATAGCCTTATTCATTTATATTAATTTTATAAAGTTGGAGTCGAAGAAGTATGACAGTTCCAATTTCAAAATAGGGGAAAAAAAACAATTGAGTAAGGCAATTCAATCTGAAAGCAATATTTTGTGGACCATGAACTACTTGGTTGTTGAAAACGCACAGCCTGTTCCTTCATCCATACGTAAATGAATTATAAAAAGTATATAATTATCTATATCTTCCTGAGGATTTCAACGTGTATCTAGATTAAAAACAATAACAGAACCTATTCCAATTTTCTTGTCTTTGAGGTTTGTTTTTTAGTAGGGAAAAAAAACAAACTAATCTATCGTTTGCATTTGAAACATCAAGCATAAAAGTTCAAATAAATTGGCAAATTATGTACCAACAAAATAAATTAAGAAATGTATCATACTTGATAAGCCCATGAAATATGACTTAAAACATATGGTTTCTTATATGAAAATGTAAAAAAAGAATATTCTTTGTGTTAATAGATACCCCAATTACATTGAGCTGAATTGTTGTTGATTTAAATGTTTCAGGCCCACATATTAAGACTACTCAAAGCAAAGAAGAAAGAAAGAAAGAAAAAAAGGAAAAAAAGAAAGTGGGCTGAATTTTACAATGCAAACCAAAAAAGACCCAAATAAACAACAAGAAAGGGAAAATAGTGTAAGAAAGAAAGCCAAGACAGGTTGCACATTTTGGAAAACCAACTTCCAAGTAGTCGAACCCTAGCCCCTCACCATTTGAACCTCCCAATCAGACCACCAAACCCACAAATCAAACTAGCTACACATAAAGAAGAATCTCTTTTTATTTTACGAATCTGAGGCAGTTACGGGTTGATGGTGTGAAGCGAGCGTGGAGTGGAAAGGTGCACATGCGTTGATTGATCTCATCGTGTGAAAGAAGCCACGTGGAAGATGATCCAAGGGTTTTCGGAGCTATTGCATGCAGAGGAGCTGATATAAAAGGAGCAAGGGACCTTCTGCTGTAAAGCTTCTTCTTCTCCATTTTTCTTTAGTTTTATTTTTACGTTTCTGGTACTGTAATAGATGTTACTTTGTTTTGGATTAGAATATGTCAGTACAGTACCGAGGCTATTCCTGTGAATAGGACTCGTGCTGTATTTTAAGCTTTCTGCACTTTATTTTCTATGTAATTTTCATTTCATTTTCTATTTTTGTACCTCAATCCTTATGGGTATGAGCTAAACCTTTGAAGGGTTGGGTGACTTAGACCCCAACCACAATGACTAGTGTTGATTTCTTTTCTGAAATGAATGTTTAATTTCTTTAGTTCAACTCTGATTTATATGTTTGAATGTTATTCCATTTTGGTATGTTTGCCTAGGAGAAGTTTATTGGGAAATAAAGAAAATGAGTTGAGCTCATGGACTCAAATAAGGGATTATTTGAGGGAGTAATTCAGAGATGATTTTTACTCCTCCATGTGGCCAAAAGGACCTGAACTTCAAGCTCTTAGTCTCACCTGCTTAGGGATAAGTTGTGTGGAAACAAAAGGAAAAAAAAACAGGCTGAGAGTCAAGAAAGTTGGGAGAGTCTTCATGCATCTGAAATATGGCTCTGACTATATTCCAGTAGGACATGGTTTGGAAGAAATGGTTAAGGACAAGGACCCGCGAGTGAAAGAAGGTATGAGGAACGGTGACAAAGGGGATGTAGAAGCCAGTGCTAAGGAAGGTGACAATTTGGTTGCCATGCAGGAGAAGAATCCTCTCAGTCGGGAGCAGGTTGAGCCTGCCAAAGCGGAGGGTAGGAAAATAGTCTCTTACAGAGACAAAGTTCTTTTCCTGAACGGGGACGACTATGCCTCAGAGGAAGAATGAGCAATGGCTCCTGAACAAGGTACAGAAGAGAATGATGAAGACCTGCAGGACCTCACTGGAGCTGGTGTGGACGACCCCCTCTGCCCAACATACAATTTCTCTAGAAAACAACACAAGATTGATTGTGAGCAGTGGAACAAAGCTTTAATTATAAAGCTAATGGGGGAAAAAATACCTCCAAAGTTCTTAATGCCCAGGCTGCTGAGGCTCTGGAACCTCATGGGAACAAGTAAACAGGTCGAGATGGACAATGGTTTTGCTCCTTTGAAATTCAGTAATGAAGAAGACTATCTTCACATCCTACATGATGGGTCGTGGATAGTGGCAGACCATTACATGGTTGTGCAACAGTGGCGACCGTTTTTTGATCCTTACAACGAAGAGGTAAAGAAGTTAGCCATTTGGTTAAGAATTCCAGGTCTACCAGCAGAATTTTACACAATGAATCATCTGTGGTGAATAGGTAACCTTTTTGGAAAAACTTTGAAGATGGATAAGGCGTCCTTCAGAAGGGATGACAGTAACGTAGGAGACAACACATAAAAAGCGAGATTTGCAAGGATCTGTGTCGAGGCTGATCTCAGAAAGAGTTTTATCTCTAAGTTCAGGATGTGGGACCATATTCATGATGAGGAGGTAATCCTCAATGTCGGTTACGAAGGTTTGCACTTAATTTGCTTTTCCTGTGGGAGATATGGCCATAGAAAAGAAGCATGTAATGGGGGCTTAGATTATAAGTTGGTGAACAACTTAAACGTTCCTGAGACACAACCTCAACAGCAAGGGGAACCGGAAGTAACTTCGAGTACCACAACTTCTCTTGCTATGAACAGGGATACCACCAACAGGGAGGACGAAGGGAAGAAAGGTGCCTTTGGGGCATGGATGGTCGTGAAACGCCCAGTAAAGGGGAGAAGGAATAAGATGCTGCAGGTGAAGGCCAACAGTGCCAGAACAAAAATCGCTCCAGTGAACTTGGACGAAGCATAACCAGAAGATACCTTTCTAGGGTCACACCAGGCCAAACATTCTTTGGTGGCTCAGGGGGCAACAATTTCCAAACCAGTGATACTGGTAGCGGGTCAGAAGGAAAAAAGCAACCCTCTGGACAAGACCTCAAACCTTACACAAGCTCCTGGGAGAGCTGACAAAGGCATTTCAACCTTGTACAAACCGAATCACCGGAAAGGCAAACAATCGACTGATAAGCAAAAAGGGCCTAACCTGGGGAATTTGCAGAAGGGAAGGCTTTCCCCAAGTCAACCCCCTATGCAGAAGACGACAACGAGAGCGGTGACAGTGGTGTCAGCCGCTGGGTCCAAAAAGGAGTGTCGGGTTGCGAATGTAGATGGTACGAACGAAGGTCAGGGTACGAACGCCAAGAAAACTCACAATGAGTTGGTTTTGCTTCGTCGTGGCATACAAGAGAACTTACACTTGGACAAGATACAGGAGGAAAATAGCCTTAGTGGCCAATTGGGCCCCCTGGCCTGTAGGTTGGGCCTCATTGTTTTACTTCCCCCAATTTTGTTTTTTATGATGAATACCTGTTATTGGAACGTCAGGGGGGAAAATAAAAGCGGTTTATCTTTTTTGATAAAAGACTTGGTGAAGAAATATGATATCAAATTGCTGGTCCTTTCTGAAGTAAGGATTAGTGGGCCGACAGCTTTGAGAAGAATCAACCAATTGGGCTTTGATGGGTTTCATATTAATGAAGCCATTGGATTTGCAGGAGGGATTTGGGTCCTTTGGGTCAGGTCTAGTGTGGAGGTTTTCATTTTGGCACACCATAGGCAGTTCACTCACACGTCAATCTTCTGGAAAACAACAAAAGTAAAGGAAGCGGTGACTTTTGTGTACGGCAGTCCCTAAAGGGCGGAGCAAAGAATGCAATGGGATAGCTTGGCAGCCATTTAGGCTACTAATAATGACCCGTGGTTGGTAATAGGGGATTTCAACGCCCTTCTTTACTCTTCGGAGAAGGTTGGAGGAGGATTAGCTTCTCAGGGTAGCATGGATGAGTTCAGAGAGTGCATTCTTGCTTGCAATCTGGTGGACCTGGGTTTCAAAGGCCCACGCTTCACGTGGAGGAGGACAAACCTCAAGGAAAGGCTGGATCGGGCGCTAGGGAATGATAGGTGGGTCAATCCCTTTGCTGATAGGTTCTTCATTCATCTCCCTTTCTTCCATTCGGACCACCGTCCCCTGCTCTTAACCGATGGGGTAGCTTCACCGACGGCAAATGCCAATAAGCCGTTCCGTTTCCTAGCGGCTTGGCTGTTGTGCGATGGTTTTCAGGAGCTTATTCGAGGTTGCTGGGACCAAGAAGCGGGATGGATTAGGGCTTCGAAACACTTCCAACTAAGGGCCGCCCAGTGGCATGCAACTAATTTCAGGGAACACATTAAGCGCAAACACCGTCTTCATGCACGCATCAAGGGGATCGACGATCATCTGCTCACTAGTAGGAACCAGACC